GCCAACGACCACGCTTTAACACGCTCGGCCACCAGCTTGCTCCTCCGAGGCTGAGGTCTGATCTCGGTCCTGCCTAACGGGAGACAAAAAGCGACAAAGAAAAAATTGCCCCGCCCGGGAGTTGATCTTAGAGCCGACAATTTTGGTTCGGATGAAGCTGCATGCGGTCATGTCGACTGTAGCTACAACTGTTTAACTACAAAAGGGGTGTGTGGCTGGTGGCGTCGGACATCGTATGTTTCCCCCTTTTGTGACCACATTTTTGTGTCCATGAACAGGGACGTGTCTACTACCACTTGTCGCCGCGACACGAGTTGTCGCTTGGACGCCTGCGAGGTAGGCCACGGCTTCTCTCTAAGGCGTCTGTCGTGACGGAGACTTTGGGTTTAGGCTCGTTTTGACCCCAGGCTCATAAATCCTTTCTAAACCTAAGAAGTGACGCCGTGTCGATCTGGGCGTGGGTCGATGATTGTCGCTGAAAACGCCTGGAGGGTAGGCAATGCTTTCCTGCCGCGAGCCCCCGCGCCCGCGGCCCCCCTGTCCCTCCGAGCGCTTCTTGGACAAGGCGACAGCTTCGGAGAGGCATTGATATCTTTCGTTTTCGCTTAGTTCTTGGCGCTGTTTACTTCTGGTTGATATTCTAGCATTGGCGGAAGTAATGAATTCGTCTATAGACGGTTCGGTTTAAGCTGACTCGGGCACTGTCGGCTGTAGCTACAATCGTGTAGCTACAAACAGGGACGTGAGCGGCAAAAATATAAAAGGGTGTTTGCCCTGGGCGGGAGTCGATCTCAGGGCCGACGGTTTCGGCTCGGATGCAACTGCATGCGGCCGTGGCGATTGTAAGTACAACTGCCTAGCTACAAAACGGGCTGTGTGGCTGGAGCAGGGCACACCGGGCGAGAGTTGCGGCTGTGCGCGAGTTGTCTCAGCGGGTTTGGGGCTCCCGCCTCCCGCGCCCCACTGTGTTTGTTTAGTTACGCCCGAGGACTTTCGTCTTGTCAGGGAATGTGGACAGACTAAGCTGACTCGGGCCGCCGGATTTGTGGACATACATTCATGTGGCCACATACAGGGGCGTTACTCTCTGGCCGATCCCTTGGTGCCAGCCCCGTGCGAATAGGCAACCTGGCCACCAACGGACCTTTTAATTAGTTTGTATGGTCTCATTGCCAAACACAAAATAAAAAGGCGCCACAGTCCCAAACATGATGCGACCGACTGCCGCTCGTCTCGTCGGCCGCGGAAACGTCAGTCTGCCGGCCGCCCTGTCAGCGCAGATGTCACGGCCCGTCACGCGTCACGCACGTCACGGCAGCGCCAACAGCTCCCGGGCGGAAGGATTTCCAGGTCATATATCCCCTCAACTACTGCGGCTGCCGCTTAAAAGTACTAAAAGCGTCCTGGTAGGACCCCTCGGCCGACCCCCACTCCTGCTGCATATGGTGGCGATAACAGCCCAACCTATTAGGCCTGATTGCCAAACCACATACCTGAAGAACAGGCTGTATTGTTTCATCATCAATCTCAGGGAGAAAAATTGACGACGTGTATGCGGACTTTGCAAAAATAAAAAAAAAAATGTTCTTTTCGAAATGTTTATTTTCTTGCCGAGTCGGAGGTGTTTGGATCTTGGGTTTGGCTCACATCGACGGATGTCACCGGCCGACACCACACTGCTTCTCTACGACTGGACGCACTGGACGAACTCGATGTACAAGTCCTGGACCACCTGCTGCACCGCGCCGATCAAGCAGATGGGGATGGCCTGGACCGACGAGACGCACGACTGGGCGAGGTTCAGGACCTCGGTGACCAGGGTGCCGGGGATGCCGACCAGGCAGCGGGGCACGTTGGCGATGCCCTTGAGAGCTGAAAAAAAAATAAAAAAATCCGTATATTATTTAAATAACGCAACACTGAAAAATAGTCATACGTTTGAGCGAAAACGTTCAATAATATGCGTCGGAAAATTAAAGTGACACTTCAAAGTTGAAAATTTACTAGCACCTTCCTATCGACATTGACAAGCAAGAATGAGCTGTCACCAATTTTCAACAAGATTTTGATGCCGGTCCTTGCATACACTGCCGTGTCAGTTCGATCCCTCACCCCACCCCCCCCTCTCTCTCCCTCTCTCGCTTACCTGACTCCACCACAGCGAAGTCGGCATCTGTGCTGGCCTGGGCGCCAAGCACTGCGGCGAGAACAACGAGGGCGACAAGTGCGACCTTCATGGCTGATTGACGATTCAAGACTGTCAGAACAGAACTGATTTGCTCTCGCCTTTATCAGCTCCCTAGGCGACCAGCGCAGGCTTCGATAATTGCGATAGTTGAAGAAGGTAGATAGCAAATCAGTACAATGTACTTTAAAATGGAAAAAAATAAGAGAGAAAAACTGTTTCTTTATAGAAGGATAATCTGTGATTGAATTACTGTCAGTAGGCCCCTCCTTCCCTAATAGAAAATAGACGTTGCAAAGATGGCGAAAAGACGTCAAGGGATAGATGCCTCGACGTCTAATGACCATCTACCATAGACATCTAATAGACGTCTATTTTCTTTAATGGTTAACACACATTGTTTATAGTTCTTCTGCCTTGTCGTTGTGACCACCACGTCAAGTCAAGCGGTGCTGGCTATTAGGCTTTAATAATAAGTCGATTATGAGTCACGCTCTGAACATTTTAATGGTGTAAGTAGAGCGCCAGCACACAGGCACACAAAACTGACAATGGTATGAAGGTACAGTAACTGGAAATGTACCTTTTAGTACAAGCCATATGCACTGATCTATTCGCACGCAACAAAGGTCAAAATAGAACATAAAATGTAGGAGTTATACACAAATTTTAACGTGTAAAACTAATGCATGATAAATTGTACATTAGTGTGCAAAATTTACGTAACTATGCCCGATTTCTTTCTTAGTTTTGTACACGTAGGAGGCATCCAGAATGTACGTTCGTCATTCGCCGAGACGGAACAGCCAAGTTCAGCCCATGCAAGCTCTCATAGCGCCTGATCGTTAGGCAATATCTTGCCTGCAGTGCATGCGTGCACCACGGGCTGGCCTACCTTGAGCCTCGCAGGCGCCGAGCTCTTGTAATTTGTTGAATAAATCAAAAAGAAGGACCTGATTTCTGGGCGATCCCTATAGGTCAGTGCATATGACATGTACGGTGACCGAGTGACGCAGATGAAACCGACCTATGCGCATCATACGTTTCCTGGAAAACAGCCCTGACAAGCATCGAAACAACACACTTTTGCACTTTTAATTGTAAAGAGCCAAAGGTGAAGTATAGTAAACGCCGACACTCGTCGAGCGGTTAGGTTGACGTGAGCCTATCATTGGACCTGAGTGCGCCCGCCCCCCGCCCTCGGGCCCGTGAACAAATCGAATCTCAAGTCCATTTCCTTCACGTCAAGCGGCTCGTGAGATACGCGCGTCCACGGACTAGAGGGCGTGGTGACATGCGACACGCCACGTGGCAGGTGTGTTGAGGTGCAGTGTGGTGCTCAAGGCTCGCCGGGCGGTTGGCGACGACCTCAACACTTCTGCGAGTGGTTGGTGGGTTCGACCGGCTCGAAAACTTGTCTAAAACTGAACATCCGGTGACTCCTCGCGCCTTGCTTCTCGGAATGCTGTTCCCCTCCCCCCCCCCCTCCGACCACCGGCTCTATCTCGCGCACTCCTCAATGGTCAACTTCTTCTCTGGGTCCTTGTAGTTCTTGTCCAAGTTTTGGAGTGACACCTGGAAATGAGAAGTTTAGTATTGACCGGGTAAATTTTTCACGGTTATAGAACCATCGCATCTAAAACTTCACTGTTAACGCCGTGGTCGCTAAGCATGCCCAAAATGTTGGCAGTCCTTTTTGACTGCCAAATTTTGGCCGTCTTTTGGAGGCTTCCAAATGTTGGCCTCTTTGAATGCCAAACGTTGGCCTTCTTTTGAAAGAAGGCCAAAATTTTGGCATTCTAGGCGACCACGGCGTTAACAGTGAATTTGCAACTACCAATAAACCCTCTGAACGCACCCGAACGCAGGCTCAGAAAATAAAGTATAACGGACCTCTAAAAGTGCGACACGTGTGAGGCCAGTGTGTGCACTTGTACTCACCCTGAGGTCGGCCAGCAGCAGGGCCTGCTCGGCGGCGGTGCCGCCGCCCGCCGGTCGCTCTTGCAGCGCGTCGACGCCCTTCTCGGCGGCGGGCAGGAAGCGGCGCGCGAGGGGCGCCACGAGGCACGGCTCGACGCGGCGCAGGTCGGAGCGCCACCCCAGCAGCGCGGCCAGCGCCGCCACCCCGACGCCCACGAGCAGCGACAGCGGCACGTACCACAGGTACGAGACGCGGAACAGCGTCAAGGCCTCGGAGCTGAAGAGGCAAAGAAGGGTCGGAGTCGCCAGAGGTTCTCAATCCAAGGGGTCGTTTACCTGTTCTTTACTAAATTTACAAGCG